CATAACTGTACCAACTGCCACCATAACTGCCACTGACTGGGCAACACCAGCAGAATTCTACAGCTCTTGCCATTAACCCTTTGCATGTGCATTTTGAATGCTAACATCCCACAAGATCAAGTGACTATCCTGATTACTTTAGGATCTCAAACATAGTGGAACAAAGCAGTAGCATGTGGAGCTGTCTTTAAAGGTGATTTAAAAGCAGCTGCAAACAGTGCAAAGCTCAGGCTTAGGTTGCTGGAGCATGCATGCATGTGTGGGCATGCAGAGACACACTCACAGCTTCCCTCATTGTCTTACGTATATAATTCCTTCCAATTTAGGTGGCAACTGTGTCTTTTATGCCTGCTCAGAGCTTTCATGATTTGAATTTAAATCATTGAAAACCCTGAAGCACAATTGAATTGTTGTGAGGGCACATTGGAACATATTTTATACAATTCTTAATGTATGGTTTATAATCTTTGTGAACCGCTTAGAAGTTTGATTTACAGTTAAGCAGTATGAAATTTGCCTTAATAAATAAATAAAGTCAACTCATGCAAAGGGGGGGAGGAAGCAGACACAAGATCAGCCCATTACTTTGTACCTACAAAAGAGAAGTGGCAGGTAAAACAGATGAAATATGCCGAATTTGCAAGTTTAACTTAAAATTAGAGATCAAGATGAGGAAGAGTTTAAGGAGGATTGGAAAATGCTTGTAGATTATTTAAAAGAAACATTGCAAATATGTTAAAACACAAGTAGCATAAAATAAGGGGGTTTGGCAAGTTGCCAGAGTAAATGGGTGTCAGGTGACAGAAAAAGGGAATCTTTAGCAAGCGTTGCTGGGAAGAAGGAGGGGGAGGAAAAAAGACTGGTATCCATCTTGGGCAGGATGGCTGTTTGCTGACTGGGAGAGATTCCTCGGACTCCAGGGCTGCACTGCTATGCGGTACAAGCTCATCTTGAAATGACCATACTGTAAGATCTGGACCCCGCCCCCATGAGAGGTGTAAATAGGTGAATAAACCATATTTCTTAAAGCTATGGCAGTCTCCACCGTGTCCCATTCCTCCAAAGGATTGGTGGGGAAAGACGTTACAGAAATCTGTTTCCCAACCGCTCACCTGGTGTCTCGTGGGGCCCAAATTCCAATTCCCACAAGACTTGGATCTTTTCTGAGGCCGGGAAAACGATCACTTTCCCACTCCCTCAACAACAGTGACTTTCTCCTCAGGCTACACTGTGAGGGAGAGGATACCCCTTTTATGAATCAGATCCATATATTTACTTCACAATCTTTCCCCTGCTTTTAGCATGTGCCAATAATAAGGGCATTGGCACAGGATATTTTCTGGCGATTAATGGGTAGTTGGAGTTAATGATTCTCAGCTGCACTGTGAGCCATTAGCCGTCCCTCCAGATGGTGGTTAATCCCCAACATTTATCCCCACATCATTATTGTTGCCGTGAAAAAAGTGAGAAATGCCTTTCAGACCTCTCTCTATAGAGAGAGTGCTGTTTGCAGTCAAAGCCATTGAGGAAGATAATTCCACCTACAGAACAGAACCCGCTTCCTGGCTTCGGAAAGGAAGTGTCTAGAAAGGATGGTCCTATGGAATGATTTGCAAGCACATCACTTGATGTCTCCTTATTCTACGGCTTTCATAGAGTAGAAACTCTGACTGAGCACCCACTAAGTGATTCTTGAAACTTTTCTATGAAATGAAAACCAACCAAGTTCTCCTCACTGACCAATTTGTGAATTTCTCTGGCATTGCTTATCAGTATGTTCAGAAAGGAAGGTTTTGGGCAATTTATGAAGTCTCTTAAGTGAATCGATTGGCTTTAGTTGAGTAAAAGACAGTAGTCTATAGCTACAATAAAGTATTTTGATGAACAACTGTCTTGTTGTCTGGGCAGCCCAGGACCTCCACACATAATGCCCAGGTTTACCCCCCGGGGAAGCCACTTTGGTTCTGCTACCACAGCAGTTTGACTTCACCCCAGAGAAAGAATGGAGAAAAGAAGGCACCATCTTAGTGATGGACTTACTCAATTATTTTCTTTGCATTTTGAGTTGTGGAACTCCTATATTCAGCTCCATGAAGCGAAACGCACTGAGAGACTCACCTATGCAAGTGTCCTTGCCATGAGGAGATGCTTAAGAGCACTCATGAAGCTCTCATTTACCTCTGCTGGGGCTTGCACAGGGGAATGGATTGTGCCCACAGATTTTGAAGGCCAATGAGTAGCCTTGAAGCAGAAAGAGAGATATTCAACAGATTCCAAACAATATTACTTTGATTTCCCCTCTGAATGGCTGGTAGTGGCTCCCTTTGCCAACTCCACACCAGGCTGTGTCTGCCTGCCAACATGCGTTGTGTGGAGATGAAGTATTCCTGCTTCCTGAGATCTTGCTGTGCAAGGATTTCTCCAGACAGGGAAGATTTGTGGGCTCCAAGTGTATTCAGGTCACCAAAAAGGGACCGTCCATCTGTCGCTAAGTGTGCACTTATATGTATACTCCCCTGTGCGGACTGCCAGTTCTTAACAGACTGATCAAAATGGCATAAAACAAGATTAGTATCCAAAGATCAGATGGAATTCCCTGGTGTTGCCCTTTAAGAGTTTCAGGTGGGGAATAAAGAAAGTCTTGTAACTCTATCCCCTATGATGTCCAAATTGTTATGTTGCATAGGAAATCTCCTTTCTCTCTTATAGCCCCCAGGGGACTTTCACTGAGGAGTGAATGGGCCATCTGTTTAATGTCATGATTCACATATGTGGTGCACGGCCGCAAACACTTTCCCCTCAGCGCTGTCTGGCTGCCTGTCTCTAAGTGGAGCTGATCTCCATCCAAGCACAACAGCAGGGGACAATTAATAAGGGACTAATGTTGTGATAATGATAAGTTCCACAGTTCAGTATGTGTGGCTCCCTCAAGCTTATTATGTCTCTGTATCATGGCTAGTTTCAGGCACACATCTTAAACCTATTTACACGTAAAGGAAGTTATATTAAAACTTAGCTGATACTGCAGCTCTGGGCACTGACAGTTCCAAGGGTCCGCAGACAACATGAAGTGGTTCCCTCAGGCAGCAACTGGGTGCCACAATAGATCAGGGTGCTATGAAAGGGTAACACATGGTCAGTTATGTACTGTAATATATGACCTTTTTACCATGGCAGGTGCAGTTCCTTGGGCTTGTTTTGAAAGTCACAGAGTCATGTTCCGTTGTTGTCCTGTCAACTTGTGCACTTCCATCCTATGCTAAGCACTTAGCCAGTTTTAGGATTGAGCTGCTACGTGCTGATTAATTTGTGGAAACAAATGACAGCATTAGCTGTTTCAATGGCATTTAGATTTTATCTTTCATTCAGATAGCTAAATTTGCCCTCTATTGGCCATTCGGTCCACAGGAGGATGTTACTTGCATTCAGTAAACACATCAGAAACAGATCCAAGGAACTGCGTGACACGGAGTCAGAAAGATGTCTCTGAAAGTTGCATAGGAAACAACAGAGTAACAAATGCAACTTTCCACAGTTGTCCATGCTAGGTATTTATTTATTTAAAAGCATCTATAAACTGCTTAATGTTTCAGAAATCTCCATAGTTCTTCATGTTAGGTAACATATTGCCAAGCAACTTACAAAAGTTCAGGAACTCTGAGCAGAAAGGTGTCAGTGTTAAACAAAAACAGCTGGATTCACACTGGAAAATGGTAGTCTTTCCGTTTTGCTTCCATGCATGTGCCCAACAGGGACATCCTTGCCTATGTACCTCCTGGAGATCCATGTGGAAAGACATTCAGGAAAGTCCTTTTCAGAAAGAGACATGAAAGACACTGGCACAGTCAGGAGTGAAGATCCTGACTGCAAGAGTCACCAGTGAGAGCCAGAGCGGTGCAATGGTTTGAGAACTGAACCAGGGCATGGGAGGTCCTGGTTTGAAACTCCCCTCAGCCACAAAGCTCACTTGGTAGCCTTGGGCCAGTCCCTATCTCTCAGCCCAGCTGCCCTCACAGGGTCGTTGTGAGAATAAATGGGGAAGGAAGGGCAACACCTTGAGTTCCTTGGAGAAAAAGCTAGGCTATAAATTAATTAATTAAATAATAAGAGTAGCAAACGAGTGATATTGAGAGAAGCGGGAGGGAGCTTCTGCACAAGTACTTTTCCAATTCCCTCATCCTGCACTACCCCTCTCCATTGATGGCACCCCCAATGTCTACAAATATTTAATAATAATAATAATAATAATAATAATAATAATATTTTATACCCCGCCCTCCCTGACCAGGACTGGGCTCAGGGCGGCTAACACCAAATATGAATTACAATAAAACATAATAGAAAAAACAACAAAAAACAAACAAACAAACAAACAGTTACCTAATTAAAATATGGCTTAAAATACAGCTTAAAATGCAGCCTCATTTAGCCCATAAATCAAGACCATAAAGGGAGGAAACATCAGATACTCACTTGAGCCAGCTATCCATGCTGGTCCTACATGGACCAGCAAAAAAGCCAAGGGAAAATTTATATACCAAATCCCATATAAGGGGTCAGAGTGAGTCTAAGCCGAAGGCCAGGCAGAACAGCTCCGTCTTGCAGGCCCTGCGGAAAGAGGTCAAATCCCGCAGGGCCCTGGTCTCTTGTGACAGAGCGTTCCACCAAGTCGGGGCCAGTACTGAAAAGGCCCTGGCCCTAGTTGAGACCAATCTATCCACCTTGCGGCTCGGGACCTCCAATGTGTTGTTATTTATGGACCTTGAGGTCCTCCATGGGGCCTACCAGGAGAGGCGGTCCTGTAGGTACAAGGGTCCTCCCCCATTTTCGTTTTGAAGGGGCATATTACAATATAATTGTTCTATTATTATCCCAAAAGGGGAGGTTTCTACACCAACCAGAAGGACATGCTTAAATGTTACAGTGCAAATGGGCCTCTCATTGGAATGTCTAGCTTGGGTGGAGAGAGATAAGGAACAAGGATTTATTGTAATACCAGGATGAGGGAGGTTGCAGGAAGGAGGGAGGGAAGACCAAGACCTTACATGGTAATAGGAACTTATTATAAGTTTCGATTTCCCAGAAATCAGGTGGTTTACAAGAAATCAGGTGACTTACAAGAGATCAGGTGGTATTCTATTCTGCAAATCTATACAAAGGGGGCACACCCTGACTGGGTGTGCAGGTTGCGTACTTATCGCCCTGTACCTTTGCTTTGCATATGCACTTCAAATAGAATCCTGTTAATAACCTGCAAGGACATTTTGCCGCTTTGTGTGACTCTGTGCTTCGGGGACTCAATAGCAGATGTGGTTGGTCCTTCAGTTTGAAATGCTGTATCACTGTAAGTTTTAAGATGTTCTTGAAAACTCTCTGCTGTTGCTTTCCTGAAATTTCAGGATTGCACTTAGGCCTTGATAGTTTTGGTGTTGTTCTGCCCTTGTTTATACTGTGATTTTACTGGGGTGAGTGCTGTTTCAGTAGTATCACTAGCTACTGCTGTTTTATTGTTGCCCATTTTTTCAGCTATGATGTTTTATGTATTGTTATAAATTTCCTTAACTTATATATTACTGTGCAATGACATAAGAAAGCTTTTTTCTATTTAAAAATGATGTTGTTTAGTCGTGTCCGACTCTTCGTGACCCCCTGGACCAGAGCACGCCAGGCACTTCTGTCTTCCACTGCCTCCCGCAGTTTGGTCAGACTCATGTTGGTAGCTTCGAGAACACTGTCCAACTATCTTTTAAAAATGATATAAATTCACTAATAAATGAATACATTCAGAGACCAATGTGATGGGGGAGGCAGTGTGGCTACTGAGACAATACTCGTGCAGCCCACGCAGAGAAAGGCACCCACAGGACAGATACACAGCCCCCCCGCCCCAGATGATCCATGCTCAGGATTATTGACTCCTCTCTGCTCGCATGACTGATCCAATGGCCAAGGAGGGAGGCATTGACATCCCCATCGGGGAACTGCCCGCCCTAGTACTATGGGTGCTGACTCAGACCCCTGAACTAGGGCTTAATTTGGAAAGCCGGGGGCAACTGGAGTATATGCAGAATCAGGTGAATGTTGAAATTGCAGTGGGTCTTTTCCATGCAAATGTGTTGCTTGGCATGGGGAAAATAGAATTGCCAATGAAAATTCTCCCTGTGGATTTCACCCATCCCTAACCAGTGTGCTTGAGCATACTGCACAATGCATTTAAAATACTTTCCTTGAGGTGGCATTGATGTTCAAATTATTATTAATGGGCTTTCTAAAGTGCAAAACCTGCAAAGTCCAAGGAGGAATAAATTCCAGTTAGGCCATAAAAAGGAAATGCTTGTCTCCTAAGCACAAAGAAGCAGTCTATGCTTCCTGATTAGTTTCCTGGTATGCAAGCCATGGGCACACGTCATTAAGTGTTTGCAAACTGACAGCAACTAATCGCTTACAGAGCCCTCTAGTCCATCTGAAAAGAATGTGCCAAGAAAGCTCACATCCAGGGTTTCACAGACACTTTCCCGGTGCCAGAGGATGATCTCTGAACATCTGTTTCAGCTCTGCACATGAAAGAATCATAAGCGCATTAGCTTGCATATTCAGTTATCCTGTCTCCAGGGGGAATGTGCCTGTCAACTTACAATCGTATCTGTAAGATGTAATCATCTGTGCTGCAGCAGATACTTGGCACGCATACCTGCGATGATGATCTTGGCATTGTACCTGCTTTGCAGAGAATGGGAAGCGTGCGGACGGTGAAGTGAGACCTAATTGGGGCTGCACCTCATTTCCTTTTCCATAAATAGAAAGGGAAGGAAGCGAGGGAATCTGGGAATCTTCTACTCACTTGCTTTAAATACATTATAATGGATTATCACGGTTTGAACAGTGGTGTCTCTTTCCTTATTATTCTCAAATATTCTGCAATCATGCTGCATCAAACCATGCAGTAACATGTAAACACAATGCAGATCAGTAGGAAAAATAAATGGACTGAGTAGGTCTAAAGCAAACTGCTCTCTCCCATTGCTCAATCCATGGGGCAGTCGTGATCTGGAAACTTTCACAGTGATCAGGAAGCATCTCTGTTCTGATCCATGTCGGACTAGGTTACATCCTTTGGCCATGGGTTGATGACATACAGAGGTGTTGCATGAACAGATAAAACTGCCTTGTGCCGCATCAGGTCACTGGTCCACCTTGCCCTGCCCCATCTCCTCTGACTGACAGGGCTCTCTAAGGTCTCAGGGGTGAGTATTTTCCATTCCTAAAACCTGAGAACTTTTTTGGAGGAGGTGGCTGGGATTGCAGCTGGAGCCTTCTGCGTGCTCTTCCACTGGGCTGTCATTCTTTGCTGCCACCCCCACCCCCCGGTCACTGCTGCCCCCTCCGCCACCTGACACCCATCAGATGTAGACAATGGTGCATCCTCATGAGCAAAGGTCACATGAGAATGGCTCTTGGCCCATCACTGAACATCATTCCTGGACTCTAATCTCTCCAACTTCACTCTAGTTTCTTGTGGGGAAAGGGCCTCCCACAATGGTGCTCGTATCCAAGATGGTGCCACCCAAGAAAGGGAAAATAGGATGCCACTCCAGAAAAACAGCATGTTATGTACAGACTTAGTGCCATCATTGAGACACTTCCCACAGTTGGAGAAGTCGGCCCACCAGATGGATGGTGGATAGGGATGGGTGAATAGATCAGTTTTGGTTTCTTTTAGTTTCTCCTGTCATTGATTCTGCTCCATATTGATCCAGAGCAGACCCCAATGTATAGTTAGCAGAGTAAACACATAAACACTTTGCAGGATTCCCAAAAAATAGACCAGAGGCAATTAGCTTCATCCAGCAGAGTTTACTACTGAAGGCAAATGAGCATAACAGTCACAATTGCATACATCTTCAGGATCGGCAGAGTCAGTAAGAAATCAAGTTGCAGCAGACGTAAATTTACTTAAGACTTAAACACCGTATGTACAGAACACCACACCAGAAGGAAAAGAGAGACAGACAGTGAAAGTCAGGTTCCTTCTGGCCTTGCCTTATAATCAGTATGACCTTGAAAGAAAGAGATAACAGAACCAGTTTGAACGAGCTGTTCAGCTTCTCTGAAGGAATAACCAAAACATCAGGATCCTTCTGCTTGTTTCTAGGCAGAATAGAAGCTTGTTTGCTTGCTTGTTAGCTAGAAACTTCCTGCTTGCACCAGCTTGTAGAATAAAAAAGAGCTCTGCACTTTAAACCAATACTTTCTGTACCAAAAAATGCAAAACTGACACTACCACTTTGTGTCATTGAACTGACCACAAGGGATACAGACAGGGAAGTTGACTTGCTCTTTTCTCACCGTGGAAAAACTGGCTGTCAACCAAAGTTTGTTTCAACAGAAACATGCTTATCGCTGTAAATAAATGGTTGTGTGCCTTCTTGCATCACAGAATCATAGAGTTGGAAGAGACCACAAGGGCCATCGAGTCCAACCCCCTGCCAAGCAGGAAACACCATCAGAGCACTCCTGACATATGGTTGTCAAGCCTCAGCTTAAAGACCTCCAAAGAAGGAGACTCCACCACACTCCTTGGCAGCAAATTCCACTGTCAAACAGCTCTTACTGTCAGGAAGTTCTTCCTAATGTTTAGGTGGAATCTTCTTTCTTGTAGTTTGGATCCATTGCTCCGTGTCTGCTTCTCTGGAGCAGCAGAAAACAACCTTTCTCCCTCCTCTATGTGACATCCTTTTATATATTGGAACATGGCTATCATATCACCCCTTAACCTCCTCTTCTCCAGGCTAAACATGCCCAGCTCCCTTAGCCGTTCCTCATAAGACATCGTTTCCAGGCCTTTGACCATTTTGGTTGCCCTCCTCTGGACACGTTCCAGTTTGTCAGTGTCCTTCTTGAACTGTGGTGCCCAGAACTGGACACAGTACTCCAGGTGAGGTCTGACCAGAGCAGAATACAGTGGCACTATTACTTCCCTTGATCTAGATGCTATACTCCTATTGATGCAGCCCAGAATTGCATTGGCTTTTTTAGCTGCCACGTCACACTGTTGGCTCATGTCAAGTTTGTGGTCAACCAAGATTCCTAGATCCTTTTCACATGTACTGCTCTCAAGCCAGGTGTCACCCATCTTGGATTTGTGCCTCTCATTTTTTTGCCCAAGTGCAATACTTTACATTTCTCCCTGTTAAAATTCATCTTGTTTGTTTTGGCCCAGTTCTCTAATCTGTCAAGGTCGTTTTGAAGTGTGATCCTGTCCTCTGGGGTGTTAGCCACCCCTCCCAGTTTGGTGTCATCTGCAAATTTGATCAGGATGCCCTTGAGTCCATCATCCAAGTCGTTGATAAAGATGTTGAATAAGACCGGGCCCAAGACAGAACCCTGTGGCACCCCACTAGTCACTCTTCTCCAGGATGAAGAGGAACCATTGATGAGCACCCTTTGGGGTCGGTCAGTCAGCCAGTTACAAATCCACTGAGTGGTAGCATAGTCAAGACCGCATTTTACCAGCTTCTTTACAAGAATATCATGAGGCACCTTGTCAAATGCCTTGCTGAAATCAAGGTAGGCTACATCCACTGCGTTCCCTTCATCTACCAGGCTTGTAATTCTGTCAAAAACGAGATCAGGTTAGTCTGACATGACTTATTTTTCAGAAATCCATGCTGACTATTGGTGATCACAGCATTCCTTTCTAGGTGCTCACAGACTGTTTGCTTAATGATCTGCTCCAGAATCTTCCCTGGTATTGATGTCAGACTGACTGGGCGGTAATTATTTGGGTCCTCTCTTTTCCACTTTTTGAAAATAGGGACAACATTTGCCCTCCTCCAGTCTGCCGGGACTTCGCCTGTTCTCCAGGAATTCTCAAAGATGACTGACAGTGGTTCTGAGATCACATCTGCCAGTTCTTTTAATACTCTTGGATGAAGTTCATCTGGCCCTGGAGACTTGAATACATCTAAACTAGCCAAGTATTCTTGTACTATCTCCTTAGTTATTCTGGGCTGTGTTTCCTCTGCTGAATCATTTGCTCCAGATTCTTCAGGTCGGGCATTGTTTTCTTTATTGGAGAAGACTGAGGCAAAGAAGGCATTGAGGAGTTCAGCCCTTTCTGTGTCCCCTGTTTGCATTTCACCATCTTCTCCTCTGAGTGACCCCACTGTTTCTTTGTTCTTCCTTTTGCTACGAACATACCCATAAAAGCCTTTTCTGTTGCTCTTAACCTCTCTAGCAAGCCTGAGTTCATTCTGTGCTTTAGCTTTTCTGACTTTGTGTCTACACGTGCTGGCTATTTGTTTGAATTCCTCTTTGGTGGTTTCCCCCCTTTTCCATTTTTTGTACACATCCTTTTTAATCTTAACTCAGTTAAAAGTTCTTTAGATAGCCACCCTGGCTTCTTTAGGCACCTTCCATGTTTCCGTCTCATTGGTATTGCCTGAAGTTGTGCTTTTACTATCTCCCTCTTAACAAACTCCCAGCCATCATGAACTCCCTTTCCTTTTAGTATTACTGTCCATGGGATCTCACCCAGCACTTCCCTAAGTTTTATGAAGTCGGCTTTCTTAAAGTCAAGAAATTGAGTCCTAGTATGCTTGGCTGCTCCTTTCCGCTGTATAGTAAACTTCAGAAGAGCATGATCACTCGCGCCTAATGATCCTTCCACTTCTACCCCACTAACCAGGTCCTCAACATTGGTTAGGACCAGATCTAAAATGGCTGTTCCTCTTGTTGCTTCTCCCACTTTCTGGACAATGAAGTTGTCTGCAAGGCCAGTGAGGAATCTGTTTGACCTTATGCTCTTGGCTGAGTTTGACATCCAACAAATATCCAGGTAATTGAAGTCCCCCATTACTACTATCTCGCTTCCTTTTGCATGCTTGGCCATCTGTTCCAGGAAGGCATCATCTATGTCCTCCGTTTGGCTTGGGGATCTATAGTAAACTCCCACAATGAGGTCACTATTATTCTTCTCTCCCTTAATTTTGACCCAAATGCTCTCATTTGGCTTTTAGGTTCTAAATCTTGGATCTCTTCACAGGTATACACATCCCTGACATATAACGCCACTCCTCCTCCTTTCTTGTCTGGTCTGTTTCTCTGAAATAGATTGTATCCCCCCATTATTACATTCCAATCGTGGGACTTATCCCACCAGGTTTCAGTGATGCCTATTATGTCATATTTAGTTTGCTGTACCAAGAGCTCAAGCTCATCTTGTTTATTTCCCATGCTTTGCGCATTAGTGTACAGACATTGAAGTCCATTAATCATTCCCCGTGTCTCTTATTTAAGGATTTTTTCCTCCCACCACTAGGTCTGCGTGCTGTTTGCTCCATTTGGTCTATGACATTTGGATGATCATCTTCATCAATTGATAGACTCCTACTTTCAGGAGCACTGTCTCCCTCCCCCACATTAGTCAGTTTAAAGCCCTCCTGATGAGGTTTCTGAGATTTTTGGCAAAAACATTTCTCCCAACTGTTGTGAGGTGCAGCCCATCGCTTGCCAGAAGTCCATCTTCAAGAAACTGCAGTCCGTGATCTAAGAATCCAAACCGTTCCTGTTTACACCATTTGTGAAGCCAGCTGTTCACTTCCACTATTTTTCCCTCTCTCCCTGGGCCACGTCGTTCAACTGGGAGGACAGATGAGATGACAATTTGTGCATTTAATTGCTTCAATTTCCTGCGCAGAGCCTCGTAGTCTCTTTTGATCTTCTGGAGGCTATTGCTTGCAGTGTCATTGGTTCCCACATGAACCAAGAGGAAGGGGTATTTGTCAGTGGGTTTTATGATTCCTTGCAGTCGTTCAGTTACATCTTGGATCTTAGCCCTGGGAGACAGCACACTTCCTGAGACATCTTGTCAGGCCCACAGATCACTGCTTCTGTTCCCCTCAGTAGGGAATCCCCTATCACCACTACACGCCTCCTCTTAGGTTTGGTCGGGGTTCTTCCGTGAGCTGTCCGTTCCAAGGTCGCCTGCACATTCCCTGAGGACTGACTTTGCTGCTCATCTTCATATACCTGATCGACTGTAATGAGGGAGAGCTCCTCAAATGGAGTCTGCTCTTCGTCTTCCATGCTAGGGGAGAGGACCTCAAAGCGATTGTGTATTTCTAAACAATCAGAGCGAACCCTGGGCCTCCTACTTCTTTGAGTCACGTTTCTCCATATATCTGGCTCCTGTGTTGGTGAACTAGCCTCCTTCTCAGGGAGTCCCCTGTCTCCTCCTTGGTGGAGACGGTGTGCTCTGTTGCTTCCAAGAAGAGCTCCAGCTCTCTAATTCTTTGGAGCGTAGCTACACGTTCCTCCAGTTGCTGGACTTTGTCTTTTAAGAGGGCAATCAACATGCAATTGCTGCAGGTAAAGCTGCCTGCAACCTTTGGCAAGATGGCAAACATTGCGCAGGAACCGCAGGCGACTGCAGCTGTTCCCTCCCCTCCATCTTGAGAACGTGTCGTTGGGGGTGGCTACAGCGGTCCTCCATCATAAAAAGCATGAAGACAGGACAAATAACTCCCCCCACAAAAAAACCTAGGTCTCCCCCAACAAACGTTTGAGACTAGCTCCCCTAAATCTAAAAGATGGCTCAAACTTGCTGCCCTGCAAGCTCTGATAAGCTCCTCCCACAGCTAATCACCTGCCTCAACAGAAACCCTGCCCCCTCTGACCTTTGCACAGGGAGAGCAGCTAATCAGCCACAAAGAAACACACACACACACAAGAAAACCTTTTTTGCTCCTTCTTCAACTGCTGCCCTGCAAGCTCTCAATCATCTAGTGGCTTCCACTGTAGCAATATCTCCATACCATTAATACAAGCAGAATACTCATTCATAAATGGAATTTTCTTTTTCCACCACTAAACATTATTTCTCCAGTGTGACCTTTGCTCACTTTCAAAATCACTCTTTGTGTTGGTGGATTGAAAAAACAGATGAGCAGACACATCGGACAGAGATCCATAAATAAGCGCAGGTGCTGTTCCAAGCTCTTTCAGTCTACAAAAGTGCACTGGACAGTCCCTTGGAAGAGGTGATACTTTAAGAGGTTTAGTACTTCCTGATCTTCTTGAGTCAGAAATGTTGCAGCTTTCACACAATGTGTTGGCATTGTATAATCCAGAGTCCAGCCAAAAACACATGGAGCATGTATACAGCATGGAAATTGTATCTAAAGGTCTCTTCCCCGTACTTTCTTCTTCTTCTTTTTAACCTCACCCCTTACTTGACATCAGTTTGAGGCTGTACTGCAGTGGTGCCTGGAAAGGAAGGGTCTGGCACCTAAGCATTTTGGCACTCACTCATTCAGGGCCACCATGTCTGTGGCTGAATGCTGTATGCAGGAACAGCAAATCGTGGAGGTGGGACAATGGTGTTCTCGAGCATACAAAGGTTATACAGTCATACCTCGGGTTACAGACGCTTCAGGTTGCGTTTTTTTGGACTATGGACCGCCGAAACCCGGAAGTACCGGAATGGGTTACTTCCGGGTTTTGGCGGTTGCACATGCACAGAAGCGCTGAATTGCAACCCATGCGTGCGCAGACGCACCGCTGCGGGTTGTGGACGTTGCGGGTTGCGAACGGGCATCCTGCACAGATCACATTCGCAACCCAAGCGTCCCCTGTATTTGCCCCCACAGGCATGCCTAACTGTTTCTCATGTTTACTTTGTTCCTCAGGACAAAAGATGGCATTCGTCATACACTGCACACCAAATCATCCCTCTCAGGGTTGTAATTGAATATCGCTATTGACACCCTGCTGGGCTGAATCACCAGGAGGGCCACGACTTATGGCTGAGGGTGATGAGCCCAGTGGAGTGGAGCCCTGGAGCTGCTGGTGGAACAACTGGGCCAGAACAGTCAGAAGAAAAAGTCCCAATGAGAGAAGAATGGATACAAAAACTCCTGGACTATGCAGAAATGATGAAGCGTACCAGAAGAATAAAAAATCAAGATAACAATTTTTTACAAAAGAATGGAAATGGTTTGTTGACTATTTACAAACAAATAGGAAACAGATAAATACATTGTCAGGATTATTGTAATAACCTGCAGTTTCAAAAGAATATAGAATCAAAATAGATGAATAAAGGAATAAGTTAATTTAGAATGTGCAGGAAATGATAAAAAGAAATTTAAGGAACCGCAGAAAGAGGAGGAAGTTGAAGTATGAAATGTTACAACTATTGCTAAGCTATTGAAATATATATAAATGACAACTATAAATAAAATTTTAAAAAGAACAGTCTGTGTACCTAGAAAGGCCTCAACATGGAGCGAGAAGGCCAACCTTAATAGCCTGGTGGAAATTTCCCCAACGATGGCCTTGGGATGGTTGGTGTGGCTGCAAAGGTGCTGCTGGAGGGGTTTGAATGACTCCTCCCAGGCCAAAGTTGCCCATAGAAGCTTGAGTAATGTACTGGCAGGCTTTGTGAGGGCCAAGACGATGGCCCTCTAAGAGGTAATGGCCTTCTAAGTATGGGCCACTAAGGTATCAAGGTAAGTGTCTTTGCACCAGATGAAAAATAGGTGAGTCCCTTTCCTTCAGCTTGCTGGTAGAAGCTGTAGGAGGCAGAGAGAGCTGTAGAAGGCCATGCCTGATTTCTGCTGGAATCCAAGGCTATGGCTATCAGAGAAGTAAGACCCTCTTGGGGTGTTAATGCTGGAAGCCCCTCCAACGTAGGCTCAGGTTATATATATTACATGTGTAAATAGACCTTATATCCTAAAGACACCACAGTCCCTGCTGCCCCTCATTCCAAGAAAAGCGAACCCTGGGCAAGCGCCCAGAACCCCTGGAATCTTGCACCCCTCGGAGTCAGGGGTGGGGTGCAATAACACATCGTGCAATGAAACCCTTGCCTGAAAACAGCTATTCTTAAAATGGTTGTTCAAACCTGGGTGCTGTTTCAAACCGCTTTTGTTTTATAACAGCTGCCCCTTCCTTTGTTCTACAGAGCACTGGGAAGATTGAGCAATGATAAAAGCAAGGACACAGATCACTTTGTTGAGTTGTAGGAGACTTTAAACAGCTGGCATGATAAAATATCCACATATCCCTTGATAAATCTAGGACATACTAGTAGCTTTTAGAAAAGTGATTCATGCTGAGGTAATAAAGGACGGCTGGGAAGGGAGGGGGGAAGAGTTTTAGTGATGTGGGGGTCTTCCCACGTTTCACTTGGATCACAACATATACATTCATCCAGAAAACTATTATCACGCAGATGCATCAGTCAACATCAAACACCTAAGAAAACTAATCAGCTCAAATATCAAGAGCAGAGTTCAGGGTAAGTTTGAGGACATTGCATCAGGCTTGGTGATTCTCAAAATACACACACAAATACAATCTGAATCCCATCTTTCTGTCCAGTAGGAGAATCTTATTTTCTGTCAAACGGAATAGTAAACATACATCTTCATTAGCAGGCAATTGTTAATTTCCTGCAAGCTAATGAATGGAATAATTGGGCAGGTGCTTTGGTTCAAAATGACCCCAGTACACCAATGGCAAATATGTACACAATCCCTTTTTCTTGTCATGGTTTATGTAGGCTGGCATGCAAGAGGGTTGTCATGGTCACATCTGGTATCAATATTTGTGAACTAATTCTGAACTGTTTTAATTCATAATGTGTGTTTGAGGGTGAGGATTGACCTGCAAAATGGCAGTTTTGTACAGCAGACAGTTTCATTATCTAGTCACATGGGAGTTAGTGGTATTTATTTATTTGTTTGTTTGTTTGTTTGTTTATTATTTATTTATTTATTTCTAGCACTTTCTGAACTGCCCTTCATCCAAATGGATCCCAAGGTGGTATGCAGTAATACGAAATAATAAAATCTTCCCCCAAATCAAAACGTAAACCACCATAAATACCCAAACATACGGTAAGCTACAGTGACCAAAAGGCAATGGTTAAAAACGAAAGGCAAGTTAAAAATGTAGCCCCTTTAAAATACCAAGGCAAAGAAGAAATCCTTAAAAGATCGTGATGTCAACGCCAGCTGAGCCAGGACTTCCCTTGGCCCACGAACGACTATGGTTGATGCAGTGATCTAGGGCATTAGAATACTGAGATTACTCTCCCCTGGTATAATAGGGCCTTTGTTTTGTAACCGTGTCTCATTATATCTGTAGTATATATGGTTTTAGTTGCTACCTTCCCCACATTCTCATACCTGTGGTTTATTTATTTTGCTTTTATTTCATGTCTGTATTTGTTCAACAGTGATCTAGAATTATGCATGGACTATGTATATTGTAATCAGATCCTGTTTGATAACACTGTTTTCTGCAGATTTTTGTATAACTTTTTTAATAGAGATTATTTTTAGGAAGCACACACTACTTGAGTCTCTATTGGGAGGCTATTGTCAGGTGCCACCACAGCAAAGTGCTTTCCTTTGGTCAAGCATAACACACTTCATCAAGGGTAGTACTCTAAGGAGGCATTCTGGAAAGAGGCATTCCTCCAGGTCTGAAGCCATTTAGGCTGAGATGGAACCTTGCGCTAGAGTATGTCAGAGGTGAAGACTGTAGAGTTATCATTTCAATCAATACAGTCACTGTATTTAGCCACTCTACTAGGCAATCAATAGTGGAAAAAGATGGAGGTGGCCTTAAAACACTGAGTTCAGATTCCAACCTCCACTACCACCCCCACCCCCCAAAAAAATAAGGATAGCAGACACCTTTGGGTTCAACTTGTGTCAAGTGGAATAAAAGGAACTGGTCCTTCCCATTTCCTTTTGTCCCAAGAGAAACACAAACCCCTACATTCATATACTGGTTAGAAAAGACTGCAAATGTCAGGTAAATATAATCTGAGTTGCAAATATAAAGCAAAGGCAGCTTCACTGAAATTCGCAAGGGGTAAATACTGATTCATAAGCTTTGCTGGACTAATTTGGTACAGAGAGTTCAAATGTTTGAAACAGGCTGTTAACCAAAGTGATGCATCTTTGTAAAGGAGCATGTTGTGCTCTCCCCCATGCCCCAAATCAGCGCACCTCCAAGGCTTCAGCCTGATTATTGTATGTTCAGATGCATAAGTCTCAACTGTATTCAATAGAGCTCATTCCCAGGTTGGTCCCTCTCACCTCCAAGTCTTCTCTGCCCCTTCGTCATAAAAAGGCTTAGGCTGCAATTTTGTACCCACTTACCTGAGAGAAAGCCCTAAACTATTGTATACATGTCTACTCTCTCTGTGTACTGGAAAGTTAAGGACACATTAACATTCTTCGCAAGTGCAATTATTTGCCTGGCTATTTTGCTTTGTAAATATTGAGCTGGGGGGGGCAATTAACTAACTTAAAAATAAAAAATAGCAAGAGTCTGGGGGCCCCTGCTGCCTATGGTACCTGGCAGAGGGTCTTCTTGGTAGTGGTGTCCACCCTGTGGAACACCCTCCCATCAGATGTCAAGGAAAGAAACAACTATCTAACAGCAACCTTGTTTAGGGAAGTTTTTAATGTTTGATCTTTTATCGTGTTTTTAGTATTCTGTTGGGAGCCACGCAGAGTGGCTGGGGAAACCCAGCCAGATGGGCGGGGAATAAATAAATGATGGCAATAATGGTGGTGATGGTGGTGATATCTGTGCCCGCCATACTCCTCTGCCAGCAGTCCTGGTTGCCATTCACAATTTCATCTTGTACACCATGTAATGTAAACATGGACTTGCAGAATTTGATTACTGATTTACTTGTGATGCTTTCCTGAAAACATATAGAATAGTAATCAACCAGGACAAGATAGTATTTCACCTTAAATTCACATTTCCATTCTTAGCTTCTGCCAGGATCTTTTTGGAAACTCATAAGACAGCATAAGTTCTTTTTGGGTTTGACATCTGGTATATTACTGTATAAAACTGTTAATTTAAGCATGCCTGTCTGACCAATAAACTGCTTTTTGAGCTGTTCTTTTACCTAGATCAATTCCCAGGTGACATTCTCGTTTGGCATTCAGTATTTCTTTTCTTAGGTCTTGTAGTACGATGTATGTGCCATGCATTCTTCCTGATCGTTCAAATGAGAGGAGGTGAGACCTGATCAGATGAACAGATTTGTTGCTGCTGCCACTGCTGTCATTACTGAACTGCTATTTCGTGAGTTAAGAGCATCAGAACAGTTTGTTGGATCAGGCAGCTAATGCCCCAGCTTGTCCAGCATCCTGTTCTCACAGTAGCCAGCCAGATGCCCGTGGGAAGTCTGCAAGCAGCACCGGAGCACAACAGCACGTCCCCATCCTGCAGTTTCCAGCAACTGGTATTCAGAAGCATTACTGCCTCCAACCCATCATGGTTCAAAGCCACTGAGAGCTTCATTCTCCATGAGTTTTTCTCATCTTCTTTTAAAGCCATCCAAGTTGGTGGCCATCATTGTCTCCTGGGGGGGGAGTATGAAAAAATACTTTCTTTTGTCTGTCCTGAATCTTCCAACATTCAGCTTCACTGGATGGCCACAAGTTTTGGATATCCATAGCCTAGGACTCCCCTTCTCTCTAAACTGAGAAGCGTCAAATGCTGCAGCCTTTCCTCACAGTGTAGGTGCTCTATCCCTCAGTCATTTGGGTTGCCCTTCTCTGAATCTTGTCCAATGCCACAATGCCCTTGATATGGTGAGGTGACAAGAGCGACACACAGTGCTCCAAGTTCAGTCGCACCATCAAATCAGACGGAAGCTGGTTTGAGGAAAAGCGCATCCATTTCCAGTATTTCTCAAAAAAACTGCACAATAGATATG